CATCATGGCTTAGGTTCTTTCTCAATTATAGTGCGACATCATTTTTATCCCTCCTAGTCGACGAGTATTTGTTTTGATAATCGTCGGGTTGGAACCCGTTATTACTAAGCTCTTTGCTAAGGGCATGAAAATTACTTTGTGTTCTAGTAGGAAATCCATCCCTAACACGATGACAAAGTCGTCCATCTTGACTATCACAAAGTTGGTTCGTCCAGTCCAAGTACCCAGCTTGATGAGAGATCTCTTCGCAACTCCTAAGATATGAAAGCTACTAAATTTACGGCCTTCATCTTTCTTGCGTTTCGATGCTAAAAGATATTTAAGCGTTTTGCTTTGGTCTCCGTCATGAATTTGTGTGTGGCTCCATAGTTGATAATAGTGTTTCTGACCACTCTATGATTAACCTAGGCCTCGACATACATAAGACCGAGTTCATTGGCTCTTCTATCTCTTCTCGAGAGCAGACAAGAAATTTAGTCATCCCTGCGAAGGTGTCCAACATTTTCAACTAATGGTATTTTGTTTCTATCGTCTCATATTCAACTTCTAAATCGTGCAGAGTTTTGCTTGGAAGGCGTATAGTGCCACCTTCTGTGAGCATTTGAATACTTAATGAGCCCCCTTGCATATGAAGCAAGACGGGGTGTCTTCACTTTGACTTTGACTGTTCTGGTTGTGAGGTCGCCACCATGGATTTCTCCCTCTCTATTGAGAGGATTCGTATTCCTCCTCTCTACCATCGAGTTGGTCACTTCCCACACCTCTGAAGTTGGGTCGGTAATTCTCTTTTTCACCACTTGCGGAGGCGTGATTCTGCTCTCTCTTGGGGTTCATGGATACTAAGATCAAATAATCATTCAACAGTAGACCAAGCTGTAGAAAGGTTTTGAATTCTTTGTTCATAGAGCTTTATTTTCACCCACGACTTCAACCCCTCAATAAAACTACAGACCTTACGTGTCTTAGACATATCACGAATATCTAACATAAGTCCAGAAAACTGCTTAACGTAGTCTCTGATATTGCCCGTATGACTCAACTCTCTTAACTTTCTTCTTACCGTTATCTCGACATTCTCTAGGAAGAATTAAAAAAAAAAAAAAAAAAAAACACCTTTAAANTTTTTTAAAAAATTCAAAACATACCTTTTTTTTTTTTTTTTAGGTTTATATAAAATACTTATCAACTTTTAACAATAACAATAAAAAGTTTGGAGATAATTTACCGTCAATAATCCATTTCAATCCATACATGGTAAGAGCTTTGTGTACTTTTATTATAATGGGGAGAGTGTTATACTTTTAAATTTTCATTGTACCCGTGGAAAAAGTATTTTTAAATTAAAAAAAAAAAAGTTGTACTCATAAACTTTTTAAGATGGATATTTTTTTAAGAAATTTTTTGAAAGTTTAGAAATATTAGTAAGAAATTTAGAGGTATTTTTAAAACTTTTTATTTAATAATAACAGCAATGTTTTATCATGAGAACCATTAAACTGCTAGGAAGAAAAGGTGGTTACGTTTTTAGTATACTTTTAGTTTTGTACCAACACTACAAAATAAACAAGAAGCTATCTTTTTTAACTATTTGAAGGTAAGATTCTTAGAAGTATGCATTATTTAAACACTAAAACAAGTAATACAATTCACAGATTGAAGAAGAAAATAAAGTGAAAAAGATTCCAAAAGCTTTCCAAATTGACAAAGTGGGCAATGTGTGGTTTAAAAAGTAGCCACAAATTATGACTTCTCCCAAACTAAACATGTTCGTTTAAAGTCTATAACGTTAGGCTAGATGCCTTGTTTTCGAGGCTCTTTTTTCGAGAAAATATCAGTATTATTATCTTGTTTTGAATGCCCTTTGATTTATTATTTTATTTATCGGACCTCCTCGTATAAATAGTTTAATATCAATATAATAATTTTTTTCTAAATAAATAAATGATTTTAAGGTTTTTTTTTTTTAAGATCAACTAATCTAAACATTACTAAACTTCCATAGGTTATTATTATTTTTTTAATATCAACTTAGTGACTAAAATTGTAATGTTCTCAATGGAAATAATGAAAAGAAGTAAAAGAATATAATTTTTTGGGCTTACATCACCTGAGTATCTAAAGCCCATCTTCAAATTGTTAAAATAGTTATTAATTAAATAAAATAAGATAACTATATTCAACTCTTTATACCCAATAATTTCATTTATGTAAGGATTAAAAAAATAAAATAAAATTTGCTCGGTTGCCAGAAAACGTGCGAGCGTGAAATTCTCGCACCCGCAATCCACGTTCTCTCCCGGACGCTAAGGATATACCAAATGAAATCACACTCGGGTCAGCCCTCACAGTACACACCTGCAAGAGAGGAATCATGAGTAATAGAGAGAGATTGAACGGTCGTCGTAGTTTTCCGACGAATGCAAACCGGTGAAGACAAATCGAACCTCACCTCTCGTTTTAAGACACCCAACGAATCACGAATAATTCTCAAACATTCCCTACGCACAACTACTCGTCATAAGCTCACATGCAAGAAAAGGAAAGGTGAAATATAGAAAGAAAACGACGGATTACTAACGGTTTGCCCCGTCGGACATAAACGCTAGTGAGAGGAAAACTCCTTTCCTTCAAGTGTATAAAGGTAGTGTAACGCCATGGAAGAGAGGACTAACGAGCCATAGAACACCTTGATGCACACGAGCGATTACCACCAAAATGGTGTCGTAGCTTTGCCGGCCAAGAGGATGAACTGATTTCTGGTACAACTCTATGTGCTCAGGTTTCGGGATACGTTAGAAAACTTAAACGTTATGATGTGGTATATGTGTGACATCAATGATATGATATGATTGACATACAAAATAACGAACTAGCATGAAATACAACCTTCATTTATGCACGAAAGATATGAGAAATGATATGATGATATGTACAAAACACTAGTGGGGTTGTATTTAATATAATGAAAATGGAATAATGTTGGGACCTCATGCATTGAGGGATACCTCTTATCCTTCACGATAGTTAGGACGCATACGTTACAAGACAGAAAATTGTATGTGTTTGCATTTAACCCCAATCCGAATAGACATGGCTGACTACAAGAGAATTTTTGAAAATCTAATTCGAGCCTATGGGCAATATCATCCCTTCAAACTAGTCCCAGTCTGGTACTCAAAGGAGTAGTTTTCTTGAGGACCACCAAAGCTAAAGAGGTCAGGAACAAGGGTAATCAAATGAAGTTTTTATCGAGTTTGTTTTTTTATAAATTTGGGGGAAACTCCAGATTCTTCATCCACGATCCATAAAACTTCAATCAAAGGACACCATTAGCTACATGGCAAGAAGAGGGGAAGGTTTCGTGAAGAAATTATGAGTTAAAGAGACGTGTATCGTTCTTCTTAATAAGAGATGATTATGTGTGAAAATGGGTAAGAGATCCGAGAAATTTAAACTCAAAATTAGCAGCCCATACATGAATTCATCATTTCAAAACTATTTCTTAAGCTTAAGGGAAAAAGGGTAAAGAGATTTCATAGAGGAATCAAGATCTAAAAATGTCCAATGTCCCAACCAATAAGAAATTTTTATATTTTTCTTTGACAAATAATGTATTTTTTTTATGAACTTTTGAGGCTTATAACTTTGGCTATAGTCCAGAAAAAGGTAAATTTTTAGTTCTTAGTTCTTTCTTGCAACATGATCCTTAAGTTTCATAAAGGAATCGAGGGGAGAAACACTCTATATGGAGCTGAGAAGGGCGAGTTTCGGAAGTATTGAGTCTGATAGTCAAGTATTCTTCCCCTGTTTTAGAATGGTATGGGTGATAATTTTGGTAAATCTCTAAACCCTTTAGTTGCAACTAGAATTTTATAAAAGTGCTTAACTCTAAAGAGTTTTGCCGTTGGCATGCCTAGGGACACTTAGGCCAACCAGGGACATTTAATGACTCCGATTTAGGCCAACCAAGTAAGTGGTCTTACTATTGACACGCCTTTAGACTTGGTTGGATGACTTGAGTGATGCATGAATGATAAGTATGACCCAATTATGTGTCATTTTGTAATGTTATGATATATTATTCTTGCCATGATTATGTGATGATATGAGTACTATGTGATGCATGTACTTCTGGCATGTTATGTCATGTATGTAAATATACCATGTTCATATAATGCCTATGAGGCATCTTGGAGCTATGTATGTTAATATTGAAAGTGATGTCATGTATACGTATACATGTCTCATAGGAGAGTTATGCTACAAAAAGAATGCAACTACTTTGGCGACTACTTTGTATATCATAACCATGTACAATGTTTTTGAATTATGGGATCTCATACATGTTATCTGTCACAAGCATGAGATACTTCCCCAAGATATTTTGTATAGACGTATACACTACGATGTGCTCTTCTTCAGTTTGAGCATGCGCTAGTCCATAGTCAAGCCTAGGAAGTATGTGAGCTCACATAGTGGGTTCAACACGTGCATGAACTGCATGTAGAGAAGTACTATACATTCAACCCTAACCCTAAAAGAAAGTAGAGTCTAAGGAACAAGTACAAAAAGATAAGTTCCACCGTAAACCATAATTGCATATGATTACATCCCCAGCGAGGTTACTTCAGATTTCACTAATTAAATTTGATCCACGTCGTTAAGAGACTTTTCTAGAGTTGAACTCTCTATCGTTTACTCTCGGGGTTTATACTCTCCCTCGAGTGCAAACCTGGCATTGAGAGCAGTATTGGTTCTACAAGAACTACCTACTCAACTATTCTTTCTGTAATCAACTACCACTCAATCTCAAAACAAAACAAAACAAAAAACTAACCGATCAAACCAACTACTCAGTCAATTCGGTGGCATTGATTGAATCCTTGATTCAGTGTTAATGTATTCGATCCATTAGACCAAATTTCAATCTGCCCATATGCCGTATTTTAAAATAACCATATTCATCCTAGCACGATAATTTGACATTGATGTAAGGGTAGAGATAGCCTAATAATCACAATTTATTAGGACACGCCAAAAATACCCATCTGGCTCCAGTAAAAAGTTCATGATTTTGTCCAATAACACGAAATGGATGTCGGTTTGAAGTCTCACTTGAATACAGACAACATAAACTAGCTCTCTATACCCAGAACATGTAGCTACTAAAGACTTAGAAAAACAATCCAACTTTCACATGATCAATCATTCGTGAAGTGTTCCTAGCAGATCTTCATCACGGTATAGATAGAACCTGTAATGTTAGATAACCCAATTATTCATCAAGAACTAAATATAGAAAAGAAACGAGGGAAAAAGTTTAGTGAGCGAAATTGAAATAGTGAACAAGTAGAAAGAGAAGAGGCTAAGATGAAAACTCTGACCGTAACCAACCATATGACATATGTCTAATGCAAGAATAAGAATGATATTCGCATGAACTAGCAACTTCATTTTGTTACAAGAAAACAACGAAGCAGGCAAGTATAACAACCACAAGCCAGATTCAGAACAACCCAAACCATAAACACAACAAATAGAGAGAGAAATGGAGTTTTAGGTACGACCCAATAGAAAACTCTAACGAAATAAATTCTAAATATATGTCGAGTGTTTATTCAATTTAATCCCAATTGTAAAAAAGTTTCAAACTAGTCTTTCAGGTACTAATAATTATCAATTATAAACTTCTAGTAAATGAATATAAAATGTGACTGACGGTATTGACATGATACTCAGTGAGTTGGCAAAGACTCGAGTAGGAATTAAATCAGTCAGAAGAGAAAAGGCCATTCTTTTCCAACTTTTTAGACTTTTGGAGAAGGAATTAAGACTCCTATAAGAAGGCTTAGTTTCTCTCATAAATTTCTGTCAGGCCCGTAAGTATTATGTCATATAAGCTTATTTAACAACATATCACATCCACTATCAAATTGAAAAATGTTAAAATGTTGAAGGATTAAAGAGAAACTCTCTTTAAACCAAAAATTAGGACTAAAAGTCTAAAATTCTGACCTAAATAAGATCACACAGCAATCATGTCAACCTTTTAAAGGGCCCAAACTGATTTTATTCTACATCCCCAAGTAATATTAGTTGCTGAGCTTGCCTCTTCCTTCTCAATAGCAGCAGCATCGTGTTTTTGTTCGACTTAAAATTAGAATTTAGAACATAGAAGAATGCATTATTATGTGTTTAGCTCTGTCTATACCACAGTTCATCGACACGATGTTTAGAGTTCCTACAATAATGCAATTCCCATACCTGACTAGCCTATCTGAAAACAAATGTATAACCCAAATGCTGATGAGAACCATCAAAAACTAAGTTTCATGACCGAACACCACCGACCTTAGTAATGTTAGAAACAGCCAATTATGCAGTACCAATAAATAGACAGGAGGCGTCACCACCATTACCAAAGACATTTCTTCTTAACAAATCAACGACAAACATGAATTGACCAAAGCATGGTAAAGTGATGAACATAAACTCATAACATTACAACTCCCTAACCCCTGTTAAAAAAATTCAAAAACATAATATTGAAATATTCAACTTTAAGTTCAGCAGCATGCAAGTTCAAGCACAACATAAGTTAAAATAAAAACTTAAGATAACGATCATAGTAACTATTAAAGCATAAGAAAGAATGGCTCAACTACCACTTGAGGGCATTTAAAGTTTCAGGGTTAAATTTAGGACCAAATTCTAGAGCAAACAACAAACCGGAAATTCTCATAAATGAAAAAAGCAATATAATAGAACGAGTATACATACTGCTTTTCTCCAAGCTTGACTTCAGTTCCTCCATATTCTGGTAGAAGGACGGTTTCACCTTCCTTTACAACAACAGGGATAATGTTTCCATCTCTGTCACGAGTCCCAGGACCAACAGAGATAACTTTTCCAGAGTTGAGCTAGATTAAGAACAAAAATCAGTTCAGACAGAACTCAATAAATGAGCCACAAATTTTATGTTGCATGGCTGAACGATATAACAACTTTACACATGCTGGTTTATATACAGAAGTTTTTCCGACTCGTCCTTGAATACAAGGACTGTAAGATTTGATTAAATCAACATAAGCTAAAATCCACGCAATGATTGCCATTAACAAAACAACCATATGATTTTGAATCTCAAAAAGCTTGATGGAAGGATGTATCCTAAACTCTTCGGCAAAGCTCATCCAACAACAACAAAACTGAAATAGATTTCAGTGTTAAGCATTTCGGTCTTCACGGATATTCCCGATTTGAAAAGAAGAGAAAGGATATTATAAATCATATCATTGAACAGACTAACATTGAAATCCGGAGGAAATGAAAATTGTATATCCAACACTTGCAGGACTTCTTTAAATAGGCAATAACAATGTCTAATATTGAAATTAGTTAGATAATCACCAAATGAGATCACAAATCGAACTATAAGGGAACTTAGAACGAGAACAAACAAAAAAGTAACAGCAAATAGAACTAAACGAAAAATTATTATAAAAACACCCATCAACGAAAATGACTCTAGAAAGAATCCGTTGTCGCAACTTACCAGAGGCTCGGTAAAAAACAACGAAATCAAAAGCAAAATTTCAAGCGCGATTCGAATCTCCCACAGAAAACGACCCAGGAAACAAAAATTTCAGAGGAATTGAAATTGGGGAAAGATGTAAGGAAGATTCACCTTGCTGGACTTCTCAGGAAGCAAAATGCCGGAATTGGTTTTGGCAGGGGGAACAATCTTCTCGATCAGAACGCGATTGAGCAATGGAACTAATCGCTTCGCCATCTGAGGCAATCGGAGAAACTGAAACTCAGCCTAAACCCTAAGACCAACGTGGACGAGGATTCTGCAAATTGCGCAAAGTTTTCTGCTATGGGCTAGGGTTTAAGGAGGGGTTTGGAAGCCTTCAGTGCTAAATTACGTAAATAGACATTAGCCTATCCTTATTTTTATATTCGTCGAGGGTATTTTCGTCAATTAGCCGATCTCCCGTATGTTCTAGAAGGTACTCAATCTTCTTCTTCAAGTTATTTTTTTAGTCACAAATTCTTCTCAATTCTTCTAATTTACAAATTGTAAAATAAATTAAAATAAAATAATCATTGAATTTAGGTTAATTTATAAAAATATAAAACTTAATTCAAACAAATGTTTTAGTTTACGTCATATCATGACACTTCTTTAATACCACTATTAAAATTTGAAAAAAAATTTAGACCGTGAATGATACGAGCAACTTGAATAATAATTTAAGTTACAATCCACGAGAAGGTATGAAATCAATCCCTAGCTCTTCCTTGTAACACTATTTTGACCGACCATGTCAAACTAAAACATGATCGTCCCTTTATTTTTCTCAATTTAACCTTTTTTCAGACCGTTTTTCATGAAAGACTTTATGGTTGTTGTAGAAACTATACCCTCTAAGAAATTTATCAAAGAAAATTTGAAATGAATTGGATATCAAAAGCTTGAGAACAGAGGTCCCGAATGTCGATGACGAGATTAGTAGCCATTTTGGACTTTTCTTAAAAAATACTCGTAAGAATCACTTGGATTTCTGTATGAACCTTTACATAAGTATGTATTAAGGGAATATCAAAGAAAAACATCAAGAACCATGAGTTAAGACCCTGAACCGATCAATTTGCTCAAGGTTTAAGTAATATTAAAATGACCCACCTACTAAATGAACTCCATTGCCCATGACATTTTAATGATAAGCATATTATGTCATTTTAAAATTGTATATAAAATTTGGTTGTCGCTAGGCAAGGTTAGGTAGTTAAACCAAGTAACAGTGAAAAATGACCATAACGGCCTAAGAAGGCGCATAATGAAGGCGCACTTGGGTTCATGTCCTTTTTTTCTTTTTCTATCGAGCACCTGGGTTCAATGCCCAAAGAAGCCGCACAACTCTTTTTGCAACATTTCCTAATTTCTTTCAATTTTTATATGTTTTAGGACGTACCTCAATTCAACTCAGTTCCTTCATTAAAGTTGACAAAACTGAAAGAGTGTCAATCTAAAATCCAATAAATTTCATTCAATTTCATCTATTATGAAAAAAAAAAAAAGATAATGTAGACGTTTTTTGAATTCGTATCAGTGTCGGACATCAAATGAAAAATGATCTTCCAAGCGTTTTCTCTCTTAGCTTTCATCACAAGATTTATTCAAATGATATCCCAACATAGAATGAACAATTTTTAGAGGCATTCCATTACCTTTATAAACACTCAAATCTAAGCAAAATTACACCTTCAGTTCTCCCTCGATTCTTTATCGATTTAGGTGATTCAAAAGCCGAGATCAATAGAAAATAGAGTTCTGAGCAACTTCTATCAAGGATGCTCGGCCAAAAACATCTCAAACGTATGAGATCTGAGGGTTAAAATTGACTTTTTACCGTTTTATCCAAGAAACTATGCATCTCTCTCTTCTTTACTTTTTTTTTTTTTCTTCTTCTTTCCATTCTTTGTTCCCTCTAATATTCCAAAACAAAATGATAACTCATCAATTACCTAATTGGATTATATATGAAAAAGGACCAAAATATCCCTCATGATTTGACCAAAATAAGTCAAACTTAAAAATTAAAAGAAAAAGTAAGAAAACATATCTTTCAATCAAGTGTTTATTTCCTATTATTAATTAGCTTATCATTAACTTTTCTTAAAAAATAAAAAAATAAAAATAAAAAAATAAAATAAAATAAAGGTTGGTAACTTTTTGCTTCGGTTTATTTATTTATTTATTTTTCTTTTCCCCTTTTACCCCTCTTTTCATCACCGTCCACGAAAGTATTTAGAGTCCTTTTGAATCATTCGCCTATTGAAAAAAAATAAAATTTTCTCTCTTTAAAGGTTAAAAGCCGTTATAAGAGTCATTCGCCTACTCTAATACCATGTTAAGAATGATATAAGAGTTTCTCATTCTTAACATGATATCAGAATAGGAGAAGAGGAAGAACAGAAGAAAAGTGATAGAGATCGAAACAGAGGATGATGAATGAATTGGGTTCACCTTCTATAAGTCATCTCAATTTCACTTATGTTTCTCGTTTTTAATATGGTATTAGAGCTTCTCATTCTTAACATGGAATCAGACCATCATTCTTAACATGATTCAGAGCTTCTCATTCTTAACATAGTATCGTAGCGTTCAAAAATGAAAAGTTCATTCTTAACATAGTATCGTAGCGTTCAAAAATGAAAAGCTCATTCTTAACATAGTATCGTAGCGTTCAAAAATGAAAAAGGGCGCTGAAATCGGAAAGGAAGGAAGTTTCCAAGGCCACCAAATAAGCCATATTGTTTTTGAAAACAAAGAGAAAAGGCACCAAATCCTATGCAATTTGGACACACTCTTCCATCGATTCTTGAGTTCTTGAGAGAAAGAGAGAGAGAGAGAGAGAAAAAGATGCAAACTTTGAAGTGAAAATAGAAAACCCATTAACCCATTAACCCAAAGGCAGCGACTTGCAAAAAAAAGAGAGAGAAAAACATGAGATTGAAGAACATTACAGAGCTTCTTACCTTGTTTTTTCTTCTTCTTCTTTTTCTTTTTCTACTTCCCTTCAGTTTTCAAACAGAGATACCTACCTCTACCGTCGCCGCCGCCGCCGCCGCCACCGCCATCGTCCGCCCCAAACGCCACCACTCTCCGAAATCCCATGACGGTGGCGCCGCCGTGTTTGAAGCTCAGAAGAGACGAGTCTACACTGGTCCAAATCCACTTCACAACAGATAAGTAATTCAAGAAGAGAGGATATGAAAAAAATCTTCTTTTTTCTTCATATATTATTATTATTATTATTATTATTATTATTATTATTATTATTATTAGTATGTTGAAGCTATAATTTTCGAGATATATGTAAATGAGATGTAATTAACATGATTGAAATCAATGAATATTTTGGTTTTGATTAATAATGTATGTTAATTCTTCTCTGACTAGGGTTTTTTCTTTTCCCATAAACTTTCCTCAAAATTTTAATTCTCGGTTTTTTTATTTTCTATATCTAATTATTTTCTTCCAAAATTTGAGCACTCTTTACGAAGATGGAGTCTCGAGATTCCCTCGTTGAAATCTTAGACATGTACAAATTCGTGTTCTAAATCTAAATCGTGAAATGAAAATGCTCGTGATACCTCCAAATATCCCATTTTACTAGAAACTTGAATGGACAACGCTTAAACTTGATTTTATCCCTTTTCTTATTGGTATGATATTTGTTTATGAAAGTCTTCGTTTTCGTGTCTAAGTATGATTTTGATGTGGATTTTCTTTTTATTAATTCTCTCATATATGTTTTTCTTTTTTTTGGGTGTTTATATATATATATATATATATATATATATATATATAAA